TTGTAATTATGTAACTTAAGAGCAGTTACATGGTGCAGTGGATAGAGTGCCCAGCCTGGAGTCAAGAAGACTTTCCTTCCTGAGTTCAAATGTGGCCTCAGACACTTACTACCTATATGACCCTAGGCAAGTCACTTAACCTTTTTTGCCTCAGTTTCCTCATCTGTAAAATGAGCTGGAGAAGGAAATGACAAACCACTCCAGTATCTTATACTCCAAATGGGTCCCAAAGAGACAGGCATGACTGAAAAAACTGAACAACAACATATGGGCAGTGTGAATTTGAATGATGCTTCCACTTCAGAGGATTCATTATTTGAACTAATTGTATCTAGCTGTACTGAAGATCTTGTATTGCTCCCCTCCTTTTAGCAATAAGAAAAGCATTGCATTACTCTAAGGATGGATGCTCACTTGAAGAGTTTAAAATTGAGGAAATTAGCCAAATAATTCTGATAAATTTCATACCTGCTTATCTAAGGAATTTCTTGCTTTTAACTAACTTTGTGTATGTAGTTTGTAGATTTTGCTTTAGTGTGCATTTTCCAAAGCATATTTCTGCTTCAAAGTAAATGAGAAGACAGATTGTTTCATCTTCAATTACAGAGAGACTGTGCTCAGATTTCTTTGGCAAGAATAGAGAATTTTAGTGAATATGATTTCTTAAGTTCAAACAGGGCATCTATGAATGCAGTCAATTTTTAATGCAGCAGCATCAATCTCTTATTTATACCTGCTGTTGTCTTATTTGCTGAGTCATATTAAACAGGTCACAGATTATGACCTTGTTTCTTAAATGCAGTGTTTGCCCTTTAAGTTTTTTTGAAAGAAAAATTGAGTAATTTGGGAGGTTTCTTTTTTGCCCTCAACTAAAATACAGATGCATTTCCTTTCCAAATTAAATTATGTAAAAGCTTTGGGAGAGGAATTTGCAGATATAAAGTTCCATCTGGAAGATGTGTACTCTAAATTGAATACTCAGAGTGAAATGAAAAGCCACTTGAGATTAGCAAATTGCTTCCCATTCCCCCTGCCCTCCAAAAAAAAGTTTTTCATCTCTTTTTTTTAGTTTTAGCTTTTAGATTTTGAGTTAAAATTCTGCTGCATCACTCAATAAATCAGAATTGGATCTCAAATCCCAAAGACCCATGTTTATGATTGTTATATTTGGGTCAGGATTCAGTTTTTGTAAGATATCGCATGGAATCTAGGTTTCACTTGGCTATAGGGGCTGATTGAGTCCTTGATTTAAACTAGAAAGTGGGAGCAAAAATCTAGATTTGAAAAGAAAATAAAAATCATACAGTTCATTTTGTGTTTTCTGACATTCATTAGATTGGCAATGAATCCAATGGAAATCAAAGGGAAAAATGATTTCTGTGCATTTTTTTAATTCCTTAAATGTGTTTCAATACTTCAGTTCTTGGGGCATCTCAATTTTGCTTTTATGAATGCCTGAAAGAAGGAGCAGTCTTGTGACATTAGAGGCAGGTTTTATGTTATTGAGAGCAGAAAACTGAATCAAATCTACTGCAAATAAACAACTTTTAGAAAGCATAATTTTACTCATCGGTCCTTTTACTTTTTAACATCTTTTTTTTTTTAACACTGACCTTTTAAGTATAAGCTAAAGTACGTTGACTTTTTTTTTTATCATTTAAAAAAACTAGAATAGATACTGTTCTTTAAGCCTATAGTAGTTTATTTCATCAGGTTCCATGAATGGTTCCTGCCAAATGTAGCTGCATTTCTTAATTACGCTCAGTTAGATTCATAATCAGAGTAATACTTAGTTACTGTTGAGACACTAAGTGCACAGTGGATAGAGTTCTGGGCCTAGAGTCTGGGAGTCCTGCGTTCAAATCCAGTCTCAGACAGTTACTAGCTGTGTGACCTTAGGCAAGTCATTTAACCCTGTTTCCCTTGGTTTCCTCCTCTGTAAAATGAACTGGAGAAGGAAATTGCAAAGCACTCTAGTATATTTGCCAAGAAAACCCCAAATGGGATCATGAAGAGTTGGACATGACTGAAAAATAACTAAGCAATAATGAACATGGTTTACCCTAGGGGGAAAATAGTGATTTAATGACTGTAGAGCTGGTCTTGGAGTTAGGAAAATTTGAGTTCTAGTCCTGCCTGGAATATGGTGGCTGTGTAACATGTTCCAGCTTCTCAGGGGCCAGACAGCTCTTTAACTTATGGAGCAGTTGTCTGTCTTCAGTGGCATCAGTGGAGGGGATTTCCATGCCAGGGGTTCTCCATACTGATGTAATCACAGGTTCAGATAAAAAAAAAAAAGAAAACCTAAACAATAATTTATCAAAAAGTGCCTGCTTTGTATCAATTCCGCTGAGCAGAAGCCAATAACTTAGATACATATCTGCATTTTCTCACATTTTTTATTTCAGACATAGGAATAAAAATGGGATATTGGTGTAGGAGCAGCAGTGTGGTGTGGGCAGAGGAGCCCAGAATTGGGAGTCTGAAGCCTGGATTCGAAAGCAGTCTTGGCTACTTACTATTCTGGGCAAGTTACTTCACTTTTCTGGGTTTCTTATTCTAAAATGAGATTTGAGGATGAGTGAGGACTGGAAGATCTTTAAGGTTCCTTCTTTCTTTTTCCTTTAAGGTTCCTATGATTCAACATTTTAGGAACTATGATTAATATGTATTCAAGCATAGCAAGTAAAGTGTGTGACAATGGAATACATCTTTTATAGGCAAATACGGTCAGCAGAAAGAAAAGAACATTTATCTTATTGACTCTCCCTCATAGAATTCAATTCCCAGACCTCACTTTTTGCATAAAATATAGGTAATTGAGTCAAACATGTGCTTATTTTGGTGTCCAGTTGGAATTACCTGGAGAGTGATCGTAGTTCTGATTTTCATTGTTGAGGTAACTGATTAAATACCAACTCTTTTCTTCTCTGTCATTGTACTATAACCAGGACAGAAGAAATAATGAATATATGTGGAAATTTTTTAAAAAATAGTTCAATGGAAAAGCATAGACCATGATAAATTATGTTTATTTTCTTTAGATCCCCAAAACAGAAATGTACGTGTTGATTGACTAGATTTCTCACATATTTTATACATGCATTTATAAAAACAGAGAGAGATAACTTTAGATTCATTGTGCACATCATAACTATTTGTTCAGTCATTTTGATTCCTGTCCAACTCTTCATGACCCCATTTGGGGTTTCCTGCTCCAGCCTGTTTTACAGATGAAGAAACTGAGGCAAACAGGATTAAGTGACTTTTCCAGGGCAACGTAGTTAATAAGTGTCTGAGGCCGGATTCGAACTCACAAAGATCATAATTATAACTCTTATTTTTCTAGACTACTGTGGGTTGGGATTTGGCCCCCAAAAAAGTCAAACTTAATTATAAAGCATATGTGTTTGATAAAGTAATAGTCTATATGTACAGATTGCTTCATTTTAATCATTGCTTTTTGACCATGCTTAAATGATGCTTTTTAAGTTATTTGAATATCAAAAGAGGAAACTGAGGTTCAAAGGAGTCACTTTATCAGTACTGATTCTCTCAAGTGTAAAATGACAGGACTAATCTAGGTGATGTCTTTCATTCTTTCCAGCTCTACAATATCATGATTTATCATGATCATGGTAGAGTTGTCAAACATGCAGCCTTAACCAAATTAAAATGTAATTGGAAAATATTTAACCCAAGAAATAAAAATATAGTAAAGCAAAGATGATGTCAGTATCGGGTTTTCTAAGGCAATATGTGCTCTCAGGGATCCTTATGTATATGATGTAGAGGTTCCCTTTCTATTTAAGATTGATGTCACTGATCTGGATATATAGGACTCTGTACATTATTAACCATATATTACATATTTAATTTATATATAAAATACGTATTTTATATATTTGCATAAATATGTTTATGGTACTCATATATGTAGATATCATCTATGCATACATATATAAACTTCAGATATGTATGTATGTATGTATGTTCAAGTTTGGATAGTGTTGGAGGGGTGGATGGCGGGCTGGGATTCAGAACCCCTGGCTTTGAATGACATCTCTGACTCTTATTATTGGTGTGACCTTTATCAAATCACCTCACTTCTCCATGCTTTAGGTCCTTCATCTGTAAATTGAGGTACCGAACACCTGTACTACTCTGCTTGTAGGGATTTTTAAGAAGAACAAATTAAATTATTTATACACACACACACACACACACACACACACACACACACACATATATATGAAAAGCTCTTTGCTAACCTTAAAATGCTGTGTAAATAATAGCTATTGCTATAGACATTATACTCTCTTCCAGTTCCCATATAGCTAAAAATAAGTTTATATAGTCAGTCCTCTGATAGGATCCAATGTGAAGCATGGAATTTTCTTTTTTTTATTTATTCACTGTGTGTGGAAACTCATATTTCTAGTACAACCTTCCTTCAGGGTATAAGAGCCTGGTTGATTGATTTTTGATCTTGTACTGCTCCTAACAATGGGATCGTCTTATTTGGGTCAGTTCGGGGTTTCTCTGATATGGTAGCACTGAGTACTTGGCCCAGAGCAGGTACTTAATAAATGTTTGTTGACTTAAGAATAACCTAATTAGAATGTCTGCATTTCTGAGGCTGGCAGATTTATGCTTGAAGGCCTGCTGTTTTGGAGGTTTAAATCCTCAAAGAAAAATAAGAAGAGAAAATGAGAGGGGGTGTTTTTTTGTTTCTGTTTTTTTTAGGATAACCTGACTGCTTGTTATTTTGTTCACTTCCTTAATCAGTACAGTTTTCCCAGACTTGGGCCCTTTTGGGATGAGAGATTGGAATTTGCATGTTGAGAGATGCTAAGACTGTGAAACTAGTCAGTCTGCTCCCTGGCCTTACCGGTTACTATTTGAATCTCTAATGAGACGAGCTGTTTTGCTTCTGCACAAGGTTAAAAAACACCCAACAACGATAAAAATTATTTGGAGCTTTAATTTTATACCTAATCATTCGTTGTGAGGCCCTTTCTCCTTGCTCAATCCATTCATATGGCAGGCTGCTGCTTTTACCTGGGGCTAGGATGGTGGTCCCTAATGAAAAAGTATATCATTAGCACACACACACACACACACACACACACACACACACACACACACGGAAAAAGAACCACAGTAAAGCAGGTGCACATCTTAAGATTAAAGGATCCCTCAGATCGATCTCTGATACAAGGGGCTCCCACCTCCCCCTACAGCAACTCCCTCATCTAGGAGCTGGCAAGGCTTATAAGATTCTTCTGAAAGATGAGGTATAGACCATCAGGTTTGCTTTGAGGGTAAGTAATACTGGTGTTGATTAAGTTAAAAACCTCAAATTAGTAAAAATTTGTTCTTATAAAATGACCCTCACCCATTCTTTCCAAAGAGCAAATAGCATTTGTGATGCTAATTGAAGCTTTATCAGTAAAGTAACTGACTCTGTAGGATGGCTGGAGTAAGAGGATTATGTTACAGTGGCCAGGAGTAGACATATTGTTTAAATAAATTTACAGAGACCAGTAGACCTGAGAATTCTTAATGACTCAGATGTATTTTACTTCCTTCTTTGAGGAAGGGGAGAACTGTTGCTTCTAGAAATAGAGAGAGGGAGAGGGAGGAAAGAAGATGAATTCTTATGGTCCTAATGATATAATCGTTTCGAGAAGCTCAGTGAAACTAGTTGTTACAGTTTGTTACCAGCCTTGTGAGTGATCCAAATCATCCTACCCAATTCGTTGACAGGATTGGTTCGTTTCTTCTCTTTCTGTGAGTCGATGGATTTCTTCTGCTGTTTTATGATTCCACCTCAAATCCTGGAAAAAAGAAGCACTTTTGATCTGGTACTGCTATATGGAGAAAGGAGATACTAATCAGTAGCAAAATGCAATAGAAAGGGACTCTGAAATGAGAGGCAGAAGACCTGGGTTCTGGAATCATATCTACCATGAACTCCCAAGTTGCTTTACTTCCCTGGATCTTCATCTGTAAAAGGAGATCATAACAGATTGTAGTCTGAAGTCCCTCCTTGGTCACAAAGTATCTGATATGTAAGATTAGGGTGGACTGTACCTTGGGACCATGTCCTATCTGAGATGTTCAATCTTTGACCATCATTTGTGCTGTGAGGAATTTTCTGAGCTTCTGGAGGTGAGAGAGAAGGGGGTAGGCAGGACTGAGGGCTTTTATTGAACCATATTATCTTGTTAAGAACTTGGCATCAAAGGGTTTAGAGGTCAGATATCATCAGAGAATTTACTCTCTACATTTTATAGATGAGGAAACTGAGGCCCAGATCAGTGAAAGGACTTTCCCAAAGTCACACTTGCAGAGATGGAATTTGAACCTGAGTCCTGACTCAATATGGACTTCTCATACTTTACTTTGTATAGGGCATTGTTCATAAATGTTTAAAATATATAATTTTTGCTAATTGTTTTTCTAAACTTATATAAATACATAATCAACGTAAATAATTGGTATTATAAATTTGTTTGGATGGGAATCTCTGGCTCTTTAGGTCCTGGGAATCCTGAAGAAGAGTTGTTGTTGAATCGTTTCACTCACGTCCAACTTTCCATGGCCCCTTTTTGGGGTTCTCTTGGCAAAGATACTGGATTGGTTTACCACTTCCTTCTCCAGCTCATTTACAGTTGAGGAAACTGAGGCAAAGTTTTTCGGAGAGTCTTTGAGAGTGTCCTTGTCTCACTTCTTCTGACCTCCATACGAGTTCTTGCCTTATGTGAGTTCTCCATAAAGTAGCCTTTTACGCAAATGTGGGTTTGGTATTCAGACATGGCCAGCCATTGGAGTTGTGCTGTCTACAGTAGAGTTTGAATTCTTGGCAGTTCAGCTCAAGAAAGATTTCAGTGTCCGGTACCTTATCTTGCCAGGTTATCTTCAGAATCTTCTTAAGATGATTCAAATCAAAGCAATTCACTTTCTTGGCATGGCTCTGGTAGACTGTCCAGGTTTCACGGGCATACAACGAGGTCAGCACAATGGCTCTGTAAACTTTCAGTTTGGTAGGTAATCTAATACTCTTCTCTCTCACACTTTCCTTCAGAGCCTCCCAGACACTGAGCTAGTTTTGGCAATGCATGTAAAATGTAATGTAAAAAAGGTGAAATGCAAAATTGATATTTGGCAAATGCAGTCCTCAAGAAAGTTAATGGTATGGCCACAGTTGGATGTTCCAATTTGATTAACGGTCACATTAGAACCCCAGGAGTTCTGTCCAGTTGCTGCTTATACTTGATAAGAATTGCTTTTATATATACATACATTTATATATATGTATATATCTTCTGAATTTGCAAATAGTCATTTCAGAATACTTATGCACGATTTCAAAAAGAGTTTTAAGTATCGGCTCTCCTTAGAGACAAAATGAAAGCAAGAGGTAATAGAAATTAGAGAAATTAATAAAATGTGTTATTTCCCTGCCCCTCTTCCCTATTCCCCATTTGCACAAATATCCTCTGTCAAATTTATGATTATTCCATGCAAATCTAGGACTGTTTGCTGCAATATGTCAAAAATCTATGATTTTCATCTGTGGATCTGATACAGATCACAATACCTCTGGACATGAGATGATTGTCTTGGAGTTGTTGTGGCTAGAGAAAAATTACCTGGTAACAAGCTTTTCTAAACTTGACTGAGACAGTCTTCAGATGACAGACATCTTGTCTGTTACCAGACTTTTACTCTGTGCCTTTCCTGCCCAGTACGATGTAGCAGCTTCTGTTCTACTGACATAGTCTTTTAAGAAATCAATATTGCTTCCATCATATCCACTTTGATGGATCAGAGCAGGACTTTTAGTTAGTGATGCTAATTATGTTCATAGAGTTTAATTGAAATAGGAAATTCACTGTTTGAAAGTAACTTTGTGGAGAATATTTTAGATATTAAGTGAATTAATTTCACATTAATTTTTCCTGGTATTCCTAAATTCAAATATAAATTCACCATTTTGTCTTATCAATACATGAGATCTATTTGCTTATGTCTCACAGAAATCCTAAATAACTCAAGTTCTAAAGAGATATTTAAATTCCTACCAACATTTTAACTTACATAACTTTATTATGAGAATTTACCTATGATTATTATATTATGCAATTACTATATTTTTATTATAAATAAACCGAACAAAAGCAAAGTAGGAAAAAGCAGACATATTCATATATTCAGAATGATTTATACCAAAAAACCCCCACAAACCTTTAAACTTAAAGCAAATCATTCAATCCGTATCTCCTTACAATCTCTTTTCTGCTTGTATGAATATAACGTTTTGTTATTTTCCTGTGGTCATATATAATAGTATTGTTTTCTTCATTTTGTGGTAGTTCATAGATATTTCCCATATTTCTTTAAGTTCATTCCTTGTCATTGTTAGTAGTACAGCAGTATTATTTTTACAAAGATTAAGAGAAAACATGGTCCAGGACAGGGATGGTTTTGGATTTAGAGAATCCTGGTTACCTCTGCTACTTCATATTTAGATCAGTGGTGTCAAACTCAAATAGAAACAGGGACCACTGTGTACCACATGTATGGTTGTACTTCAAGGTCCCTGTGGGTTGCATATTGACTTAGAAAACTACATATTAACATTGTCTATTGAGAAAATTAAAACTGATCCTGGATCATTTTCTTATTGACCTTTACAAGTAATTGATTTTGCCCTGTATCTGCATAAGTCATGGTTCTTTGTCTCTGAACTTAGTTCAGAGTTCATCTGTCCCATAATAGGGCAAGTTTAAATATCCAGCTCTCCTACCTCAAGGAATTTAACTGACCTGGTAGAATGTGTGAGAAAGCAAGGGGGGTTGGACCTGATATCTTTATTCCACCAAGCTGTCCTTCAAGGACGTCTGGTTTGCTGTCCAAAGTCTGGGCCACTATCTCAAACCTGCACTCAGACAATGAGTACTTCTTCATCTCATGAAGAAGGGGGCTTGTTGCTAGACCCTGTCACCAAACTTCTAACCAGTTGTGTTGTTCTCTGCACCTCAGCTCTGTAATCAGTCATATTGCCCTTAATTCCATGATGTTATTTACCCTACTCTGTTCTTTGTTCTCTGTCCTCTGGCCCAGGCTCTTTGGCATTAATGGAGGCAATCCATTTATTGACAGGTAGCATGCCCCTGCTAATAAATATTATCTTGCATGGAGAACTGCCTCAGTTTACCCTTTTATTAAAATCTCAATCACAACACTGGTTTATTGTATTTTTATTTATTTTATTAAATATTTTCCAATCACATTTTGATCTGGTTAGGCTCACTTGGGAGTTAACACCTCTGATGTAGGTAACCCTCTCAGGTTCCTTATCTCTAAAATGAAAAGACTGGATTCAATGGCTTCTGAGATCTGTTCAAACTTTAAGTCTGTGATGCAATATGCCACAATTTATTTAATTATTCTTCAATCATAAGGCATAGATGTAGGTTCCAGATTTTTCTTATTACGAATGAAGCTGTTTGTATATGTTAGAATTTTGGTTAAAAAATATTTTGGAAACCCAACTATGCAGCAATAGCAATAACAAAATGAAACCTTTTTAAAAGTAAGAAAATGGCTTTCTATGAGTAGATCCATTTTTATGCTAAAGATGTTGCATTCGATGGTTCCACATTCCTGTAAGCTGAGTAAATTGGCTGTAATAAATTCTAACTTTCATCCTTGGTTGCTTTACTAGATTATTTTGCTTTCAGCAATGAATTTAACAAAAAATAAAAAACCATACATTCTTCCTGCAGAGAGCTACTTGGGTAAGATTTGCATTTGTGGCAATTACAAGTACAGGATCTTGGACCAAAAAGTAAAGCTTGGTTGAACTGGATTGGGCATCTGAACATCTGTTTTCTTGTCACAACATTTAAGTCACCTTAAGGACCCCATCATTGATGCCATTGTTTATTGTTTACAAAATGTTTTTGGACCATCTTAAGACAGTCCAATGAACTGGATGACTCCCAAATCATAGAATTATGGAAAATGGGGACAAAAAGGATAAAAAGTAGGCTTTGCTTTTCTTTAAATGGCAAAGGGAAGATTAGCCTTTATACTGTCCAGGTTTATTATCTTGATGGAGAAACTGAAAAAATTTCTGTATCATTCCTAGTGCATAATTGGTTTTAATAAGCGTATAATGTCGCAATGGTTCTGCTATAGATGATTTGATATATCATTGATACTCTAGCACAATTTCTGTAGCAATTTTTCCAAACTTTCTGGGCTTTTCAAAAAACTCCCTGTTCCTTCTCTCTTTCCTGCTCTATCAACCGTTGATCTTACCTTTTACTTTACAATGAATATTAAGCTCAGCAGGAGTTTTCATAGAGCAACATGGTATATGGAAAGCATGCTGAATTTGGACTCAGAGGAAATGGGTTCAAGCCTCAGCACTGACACTTATTGGCTGAGTGACTTTGAGCAAATCATGTAAGTCCTTGGAAGATTTGTTTCCTCATCTGTACAAGGAGAGGGCTAGATTGAGTGATGCCTGAGGTCCCTTTTCACTCTAAATTTGTGATCCCATGATCTATTTTAACCTCGACATAGCACTGTTAATGTGTCAAATGAGATAATATAGGCAGAGTTCTTTGTAGACCTTTAAGCACTATGTAAATGTCAGCTACTACTAAGACAATTAACTACTCATGATATTATGACAGTAACAACAACCACTATTACTAGGTCTGTAACTATCCTTTCAAGCTTTAGCCTCAGATCTATCACAATGGAAAAGATGTTGAATTAATTTATACATAGTGACTATTGATTTGGTAAAGAGCTCTTG